CTTATATAAGGATTTGATGAAAGTTTCTGATATAATAAATTTTTTTGGCTTGTGTTTATCGATGGGTATATATTTATTGGGATTCCTTCTAAGTAATTTCTACGTTTGGTTTGATTTGTTTTATTATACGGGATATCAACGTCAATGGGTTATTTAATGCCGACAAAATTTTAATGGTTGATAATATTTTTTCCGAAAATCTATTTCTGGTAATATATTTTCCTTCAAAAATCTATTTCTGGTAATAATTTTCTTTCCTTTGTAATTTTTTTTCAAAAATGTATAGCTGGTAATTTTTTTTTTCCAAATATTTATTGCTGGTAATAATTGTTTTTTGTTTTTTTACAAATTATTTCTGGTATTAAAACCTATTTTTACACATTCATAGTGTTTTGCCCCAGATTGGGAGTTAACTAGTTGTCCATAGCTGGGACCCTAGCAGGTGCTATCACATCGTGTCAGGGTGAACCTGGGGACACCATAATTTAAGAGCTTGTTCCATGCTCCCCAAAACTTCCTGACGAGAAGCCTTGCTGTTGGACGTAGTTTATCTTACCCAGGACGCGGACGTAGTTCGTATTAAAAATGACGCGAATTAGTTTATCGTCTTACCCAGGACGCGGATGTAGTTTATCGTCATACTCAAGGCAGAATTTCTCCGTAATTAATTAAGTTCTTTTCTTATTTATTATGGCCTGTTTATTTCTGTGTGTTACGAGCTAGTTCAAAGTGTTTTCCCAATGTAGATCTCTCTTATGTTCGGAGATGCGGGCTTTTAGGTTTCCGGTGGTGTCGCCTATATTGCCATTCTGACCTCTCAGGCGTTTAATATTATAAATCCATGATCTGGAGTAGTGTTAAATCTATGTTTTTTGCTTACTAGATCTCTTGGAGGTTTTAGTTATGACCTTAGTTTTACGGAAAACAAGCTCGTTTTCAAATGTTGTTGATAGTGTGTTGGAAAATAGGATTATACAATTTGTATTTTTTCCGTTGGTGCCTACTTTTGAACTTGTTAACTTTGCTCGTTTGCTAGCGTTGAGGATGAAATGATCTGGTTAGCGAAGAGAACTAATAGTTTTTTTTTTTTTTGTTTTTTTTTCAATGTATTTCTTTTCTTCATCTAGTTATCCTGGGTTGCATATACTAAGGGATCTGTGTTAAAAATCTAACATTCGTCCTGATTTTATATTTTGGCTGGTTAGGAACAGAAATTGATTGAATCATGTTTGTTTGCGGTAAAATTCAATATCTAATTTGTTCTCATTTCATATTTATATGATGTGGAGATAAGGAAAAGATTTGTTTATTAAATCTTCATGTGTGAATTCGATGGTTGGTTCTACATTAATGGTTTTCTTTATAATGTTCGGCATATTTTTCTAGTGATGATATATTAGAATGACGTCAGCTATGTATCTGAGGTTAATGTAGTTCTTAGATACAATCTGTTTAAATGGGCCAAACTCACTAGCAAGCACATCGTTTATATGGGTTTCCATCGGTGTTTGAGGACATTTTTGTTGTATGAGAAGAAACACTGGTTAGGGATTAGTTTGCATTGTTGTATAATTTTGTGAACTGGAATATATATATTTTTTTTAATTTGGTCATGTCGTATGTTGAGGCATTTTGTGAGGTGTATATTTGCGCATAATAATTTGTCTTCTAAGCTTTCCATTAACATATTATCCATGTTTATGTTTCTTATTCTCTGGATAACGTCACCAGCGTGTTTAATGTGTGTTGGGTTGCTGGTGATTAGGAACTGAGGTAGGAGATGTAAGGTCTGCAGTTGGAGATTCGTCTCCAGCTGTGCTTGTCAAGCTCTCTGTCTCCGGGCAGAGAGGGTCCCCAGAAAAGGCTATGTCGATGGGCAGAGTCTCATCTCCGGAAACAGCTACAAGTTTTTCTACAGTATGTATCTTCCGGCTAGTGAACATTTTTCAGCATTGACGAAGGTGGCAGCTATGATACATTGCGTAAAACAATTTTGGAAGCTTTGTGTAGTCAAATCGATGTTTATTCGTTAAGGTGGTTCTGGTGACTCCTTTGCTTATTTCAGTTGCAAATTTAAAGCCGAGTCTTAAAGCCTATTGTTCCGTGATAGCGATTTTACCGATAGACATGTTGTGAACAAGATTCGTATTAATGAACTTCTTGCATCTACTGCGGGTGCAAAGATAGTGCAGATTGAGTTTAAGTGATTTATTTGTTCGTTGTTTCGTATTAAATTGTTTGTCTTACGCTTACAGTTCTGGAGTTGGATGGGATGTTTTCCCCACGTAGCGTTCTGCTGATGAATGTAGCTTTGCTGTTTGTGAGCTAATCGTGGTGTATGAGTTCTGCGCATGTGAGGAAGTAGTCGTGAATGTATTTAGTGAAGATATCTTTTGTTGTGTAGCGTAAATTATAAATGATTTTGGGTATAAATTTCTCAGCAATGAAGTTGTGTAGGAGATTTCCTCTATTTCTGTGTGATTTAACATATAATAAGTCCTTGTTGTACAGATGGATTGAATGTTTATATCTTTATATATATATATATATATATATATATATATATATATATATATATATATATATATATATATATGGGGGGGGGGTAAAAAACATATAGAAAATAGGAAAGAACTCGTTAGGTAAATAATCCAAAGTCATTTAGTAGTTTTTGTTATTATTTTAAAAAAGTGCTCGATACAAAGTAGAGCCTAAATATAATTATTTATTTAAAATATGATTTATGTAGCGATGGAATCATATTTTTAAATATTCCCAATCAAACCAAATTCAGAAAGAATAATATTGCTCATACCACTATATGCCTAGCTAAACGACTCACGTTACACCTATCACACCATATCTCAATTAGGGCACATTTAAACTCACACGAAAACCTACCAAATTCCCGTCGCACCATACTAGTAAAAAATACAAGTATAAGAACCTCATTCACATGTAATCCTGGTAAAAAATAATGGAAGCACTCATAATTAAAATATAAAAACCATCACTCAGTGATATTAACTATGAACACGGCCACGACGTACTGAGTGTATTTGTAAAATAAACCATCTCTATAATATCAGATAGATGCAGAAAAAATTCACACATCCATTAAAAAAAAAAATTGTCCCTAGATATTGGCAAAATGAATAGCCGAAAGCGCAAGTATATGCAGAACCTTTGGACAGGCTATACACATTTCGTGTCCCGAAAAGAAAACCTTTGTAAGAAGACAAGAAAATTAAATAACAAGCTTAATAACACAGTGACTTGTCAGTCGTCTTTAACGTTACTTGTATATATATACAATTATATATATATATATATATATATATATATATATATATATATATATATATATATAATATATATATATATATATATATATATATGATGTGGGTATGTGTATAAGTTTATATATATATATATGTGTATGTATATATATATATACACACACACATATATATATATATATACACACACATATATATGATGTGTGGATATGTGTTCTTTCTATATATATATATATATATATATATATATATATATATATATATATATATATATATATATATATATACGCATATATATATATATGTGTGTGTGTTATTTCTATAGATATATACCTATATATATGTATATATATATATATATATATATATATATATATATATATATATATATATATATATATACGTGTGTGTTCTTTCTATATATATATACATATATATATATATATATATATATATATATATATATATATATATATATATATATGTGTGTGTATGTGTGTGTTCTTTCGTTATACACTTTTGGAGTGTGTATTATTACTGGCTTGGTATTTGTTTTACTTTGTCTTCCTGCATGCATACAGCTGTACGAAAACTCCTAAATAAATAAATAAATAAATAAATATACTTACCACAGTCTATTGTGAAAAAATTATTTGTTTTTCACAACAAATATTTACTTTTTAACATAGTCGCCTTCCTTTAACCCGAAACTCAGCCATTAATCATGCCGGGAAAACATACAATGGTCGTTTCAGATTACAATTCAGCTAATAACCGACCGCGGCTACATTACTGATTCACCCTTGTATATGAACGCAATCTCATGCAGATGCAGGGGCATATACACAGGTGTATAAATGCAGATGTATATGGGACCCTTATGCTATATGGATGAGTGATTGAAATTTTCAGAATACATACAGAAATACAAAAATTAAACACACACACACATGCAGATACCAACCAACGACATATATATATATATTCTGCTATCATTGATTATGCATGCTGTTGAATTTGGAATCTGACATAGCCAATATAGGAAGTCACATTTTTATTTATTTCTCTGAAAATAACCGCCAATTTAAAAGGGAAAAAAAGAGTTTTTTTTTTAACCTACGTATTTCATCAAAATGGAAATTAGTTAAACAAAAGGGAGCCCATCCCTTTCACCACGAGCGAATGTAATTAATTCACAAGGTGAACCTAGAACTCAATTGAAAAATGATAAAATACTTAGCGTCAAACATGGAAATGAAGAGAAAAAAAAATAAATGAAAAGAAATATTGGACAGGGTCTCATTAGAATACTAGTTTGTTTTTTGTTTTTTTTTCATTTTTTTTTCTTCTCTTGATTTTTTTTCTTTTCATTCATCAATCTTTATCATTACATTTTTCCTTCTCAACAAGTCTTCCACTTGATCTCCTTTGCCATTTTCCAATACTATATTTTTCCTTCTTTCCGGTGCATTTCACTTTTTTTTTTTTTTTTTTTTTTTTTTTTGGAGCTTCTCTCATTTATTGGTTTGTAGATTTTTTCTTCCCAATTAACCTTCTCTGCATTTTCTTTTTGAGTTTCACACATTAAAAAAAAACAAGACAAAACTATCTTTTAGAATTTTCTTTCCTTTGAAATCCCATCAATTTATTTTCTGCTTTTTCAGTACTTTCTTTCTCATCATTTCACTTCTTGCCATATGTATGTCTATGCATGGTTTCGATATTTTATTCCTTAGACCCTTAATTTCTATCTTGGTTCTTTCGATGTTGGGTCTTCACTCTTCGATATTTTTGAATTTCATATTTTATTTATGTTTTTCATAGCTTCTCCCCCTCTCTTATTTTTGTTCGTGTCTCTTGAGATTTTTAAATATTTATTTAACCTATTTTCTTGACTACTTAAAAAATTGGTTGTCTCTTCTTTCTTTTGCTTTCCTAATTTCCTTTTTTTCCTTTTCCTATTTACATTTCTTTTTATCTGTTTTCTTATGTTTTCATTCGACTTTGTTTCATTATACATGTTTCCATTTCCCTGTGATGAAGTTTCAATATCTTTCTTTCTTTCTTTCTTTCTTTCTTTCTTTCTTTCTTTCTTTCTTTCTTTCTTTTGGTTCAATATCTGTTTCTTCTTTCTTCCCTTCTAACTGTTCATTCGTATATGTTCCTTTCTTTCTCTCTCTTTCTTTCTTTTCTTCTTTCTTTATTACTGTTGCTTCGTTAGCTTTTATTTTTTTCTTTCTTTTATGAATTATGCACCATTTTCTTTTTTTTAAATTCTCATTCAAATTTTAATTTACACCTTTACAAATTTTCATTTTTCCCTCTATCTATTTATTGTAAATGTTTCCCTTTCTTTCTTTCTTTCTTTCTTTCTTTCTTTCTTTCTTTCTTTCTTTCTTTCTTTCTTTCTAAACACACTCCCTTTAATGACCTTTTCTTCCATATCACTTTTCACATGTCATAATTTTCTTTTTTCTGATTTTCAATTTTCATTTTACCATTCAAGTATTATTATTTATTATTTCTTTCTTTCTTTCTTTCTTTCTTTCTTTCTTTTCTTTTTATTTATTTATTTATTTATTTATTTATTATTTACAATCCTCTGTTTCTCTATTCCTGTTTCTACTCTTAACCCTGATCATTCTATTCTACTTAACTTCTTCCATTGCTACGTTTTTCAACTTCTCTAAACCTTTCTCTTTAAATTGGTTTCCCACAAATCCTTTTCCTTTTCCTTCATTTCCATTAATTGTATCTATCCTTTCTCAAATTTCAATTCCTTACACGCTTTCATTCCATCCATTTTTTCTTCATAGCCATGTTTTTGTTTCATGTTTCCCATCATCCCTTTTTTCAACACCAAAATTTTTCCTTATGATTGATTCGACAGGAAAAATAGATGGAGAAACATTCTATTCGACGACAACAATTAAAATCTTTTTTCACCTTTTTTTCCCAAGATATTAACAGTAGAAGAGAAACGATGGCAAAGATGAAAGACTAAAATAAACTTTTGAGAAGTAAAAATGATAAATTGGAAGGAGAAAAATTCCATTTTCTTGAAAGGAAATTTGCAAACTTGACATAAAGAAACAAATGAAGAAACGGTAATAGAAATAACAACAAAAGAAAAAGAAACAAAAAAAAAAACAAACAATTACTCAACCAAAACCAAGATTAACAAGGATAAAGTTGTAAAAAAGAACTAATATTAACATCATAGTTAATTTATTTTTTTACAAATTTTCACCCATTAGTCACGCAAGGGAGAGATTTTTTATTGATTCGTTTTTTACGGTTTAATAATACTTTTCAGGGTTTATTTAAATCTGGGAAATATATTTAGATTTTAAGAAATTATTTTTTGAGATGATAATTATTTACTAATACAAGTCCTACTAATTAACACATAACTGGAGGAGAAGAGTTAGATTCCAATCTTGCTCAAGTATATTTGGGCGTAAATGATTATAACGAAGCCGACGAGAATTGGAACTCGGCTGCCCGATTAACGATTTCACGCCAGTAACCATTATACAAGACGCACATCAAAACTTACAACATTCTCAAACGGTGAATGCGGTGTGTAGTAGAGATATAAGAGGAAGGATTGGGGGATTTAGAGGATAGAAAACAATTTACCCTGACATTGAAGAGATTAAGTTGACAGCGTCCAGTAGATCAGCCACGTAGAAATCTGTTCCATAAAGTAGCAGTCCCTAAGAAGAAAAAAGATATCTGAGGTTAGCACCCTTCTTACAATTGTGACAGGAAGAGAATGAACATAGTTTGACTTTGTAGAAATCCCAAGGTAAGTCATAGCTGTGAAGTTCTGAATTGATGTAAATAAAAAAAATGGTCTTCACCTGATCAATATCCATGAGAATAGAAACAGAGTAGCAATCTGAGATGAGGTATTATGTAAAATATTTATATTATTCGGACTATTGTCCTCATATTTGTTGCCATATCTATCACAACGTTTCGTAAGTTGTACTCGCCGGCCTTCTTCAGGTGGTTGGAATGTCGAACTGAACCCATTATTTCGCACGCTTAGGAACACATATCACAGTGGATAAAGGCGTTGGTTAGTGACAGGACCCAAAGAGTGTGAGTTCAATACCTGGTTAAGGCAGTGGAGATATTGGAGAAGAGAATTAACAGGAGATTAAAAAATTCCTCTTTCTTTTGCATTCTTAATTTCTTTCTTTATTTACTTCCTTTTTCCTATCTACATTTCTTTTTCTCTGTTTTCTTGTGTTTTCATTCGACTTTGCTTCATTATACATGTTTGACGCCCCCTGCGGGTGTCGCCGCTCCAAACGTGACGTCCGCCTGTCTGCGTCAGTCGTGCTATCCCGTCCTGTGACGACCAACTGGCTTGGTATTGGTCGCGGCACCCAAATGTGACGTTCTAACCTTTTGGTGATTCGGATGGGAATCTGGTTAGATTCGATATCAGCCTCGTCGTTCCCAACTCGCCTCCGACGTCTGGTTACCGAAGTAACTACTTTGATTTCCAGTCTACCTACCCACGTTGTGAATTGATCTTAGGCAGACGAAATCAATCAGTCGCCGAGGCCGTAATACAAGTCGAGTTCGAATAAGGGTGATATCGCACAATTAGATGTAAAATAAAATAAAATAAAATAACAACTCGAAAAGTTCAAATGTGTTAAAAAAGGATAACAATATTTTATATCTGGTTGCTGGATACAGGATTGCGTCTATTTCCCAACCCGCTATATGGATACGTGACACGTTGCTTTTGTTAGGCGAGTCTTAACATCTTAAGTTGTCTGTTCTTTAAGAAACTGGTTCTTGGTGTGTCTTCAGGCGATATTCGTAAAACTTGTTTTGGTGGTATGGTTCTAAGTCGTTCTTCAAAAATAAATCTTTCAAGTCAGCTATCTGCGAGGCTCTGCCAATTGCCAATTCCAACCAGATCTGGATCTGGAACTGCCCGAACTCGACTTGAACTCCCGAACTGAACTGATTTTCGCTCGCTGCGACTTTGCTTATATGGACGCTGACCTAAACCGGGGTGGGCTCGTCGGGGTTTGAGGTTCCTTGATAATTCTAAATCCACATTCCACTTCTTTGTTTTCGGTCAGGAAATTTCCACTCCTTTCCATTTTTGGAAGTCTTCTCCTACTCCCACCTTCTTCTGTTCTCATATGGGTATCTCACCATACCCTCAGAGGGCGTCAACGGTTTTCCCTCTCTCTCTCTCAGTGACATCTCATACCTATCCCCTCAATGGGTGGTTGCAGGCCTCCCCCGCCTGCATCACATGATCACCTCCGCCTGGCTCTCGTTAACATTCAGCCAGTGTGGGTGTGACCAGACTAGCCTTGTTTTTTTAAAAAAAATCTTGCTCGAAGAAAAAAACATTATCTTTTCTTTTCTTTTTTCCTTCATTCTTTCTCTTTTCTTTCGTAGTGTGGTCCCTTAATCGCAGCTATTATCCTCAATGTCACCTGGTACCTATCAATGTGATTTTCGCTAAGTAACAAGTGGGTGGTCAACCAGGCACACTCACTCTCCGGCGCCAACCACTGATACGATAAAACAATTTCCCCAATTCACAGCCGAATTCATATGGAAGTCGTCAACGAAATTTTCGCCAATTTCTGATAAAATAGTTTCGCTGTCATAGTCAAATTCCAACACAACCCAGATGACTTGTCCAAACGATATCTTCCCATCGACAAAGACTTAACCTAAGGTTTTGGTTTTCTTTGTTTTCGCAACTTGTGTGTGGTCAACGGACGACCTATTAAATTTTTATCTCTTTAGAATTCTGTGGAAGCCCCAAATGGCATTCCCGTGACACAGTTAAATGTTTATCTATTTAGAATTCTGTCTCTGAGGCCAGCTAGCCAACCTGGAATTCGTCAATTAGCTTTTCGCCGTCACCAAGCGGTTGGCCCATTAGGCGCTTTCACATTCTGGCGTTATCTATTCCCGATAATATAAGTTCGCCACCATAACACAGTTAATTTTTCACCATTTTTCCTTGTCAAAATAACACCGCTTAATGTCCCTTCCGTGATGGCTTTTTTTTTATCATCTAAATTTAACTCTCGCCTTTCATTTTTTTTCTTTCCTTTTTCTTTTCTCCTTCTGCAACCCTAAATGGTGTCAGACATGTTTCCATTTCCCCGTAATGAAATTTCAATATCTTTCTTTCTTTCTTTCTTTCGGGGATAGCTGACATCCATTAGACATGGCGCGTAGAACAGTCTACCCCAGCGAGCGAAATAAAGGGCACTAAAACACTATTGGACTCTATTCGATCAATAAGAATATATTTATCTCTAAGTTGAAATGATGATCCCTCTACCAGTTGTGACCTTCTGATCCATTTTTCCTTTCTAATGTCCCCTCTATTTAAAGCTTATTCACCGTTCTCTTGGTTGTTCTTGAATGAACTTTGAAGATGAAAGTAAAAATATGAATGTTGGTACTATTAAAGAATATTATATCCCTCTCACCATTGCCCAGTTGAGAAGAGAGTGGGGCTGACACGCAACAATTTTGACATGTTCTCTTTCTAGCTGAATAACTCAAAGGTTTTACAATGATTCTTACGAAAATTAGTATCAAGGTGGATAACCGACTTATGTGAAAAGCTGGAATAAAAACTCACTTGGCTTAGTAATCTTTATATATGAAACACTTGGATTGGCAGTTATGCTGTAACGCAATTTGGGCAATTCTGCTGTTACTCCTGATATATATATATATATATATATATATATATATATATATATATATAATATATATATATATGAAAAATATATAGAAAAATAGGAAAGAACTCATTAGGTAAATAATCCAAAGTTCTTCAGTATTTTTGTTATTATTTTTTAAAATTAGTGCTCGATACAAAAGTAGAGCATAAATATAATTATTAACACGCTACATAAGAGTTCGCATGTTTCAAAACAAGAGCCGAAAACTTCAATATAATTATTTGAATTAAATTGAATTAAAGTAAGCTCTGTTCAATCTTCAAGCGAAATTTTTTTTTGAAATAACTTATTTCTGAATTTTACGTATTTTAATAGCATATTCATTATAATGAATATGCTATTAAAAAATTTAAACAAATTTAAAACACACACACACACACACACACACACACACACACACACACATATATATATATATATATATATATATATATATATATATATATATATATATATATAGTTAAGTTATAAAGAACTTGGTAAACCGAATTGGTAAATCCAAGGAGGATGAAATCCTGAGAGCTCAATGTGAAGAACAGAGCTAATATTTAATGAACAACAGACACTTTAAGGTACCATTACAATAATTTATTTCACCAAAATCCTTTTTAAGGGATTTCGGATCATCAGGTAAACACACGTCTCCTTTTTTCCATTTTTGTCCCTTTTTTCCTTTTACTTTATTTCCTTTCCTCACTATTCCTAC